GGGGAGCCAACAGTTGTTTTTCTTTGTCTTCAGCAGCAATGTGATCGGGTTGATAGCTCCACAGATTTTTTTTTTTTTTAAGGCCAGAAAGGACCTTTGTGATCATCTAGCCTGATTTATTTCATAACACCGGTATGTGGCCCCCAACACTGAGAACATTTGTGCAAGTTAGTAACTATATTTGAGCTCAGGGATGTTAGTGTAATTTTTTTATGCATAAATATGTGCAGGACTGTCTCCTGCAATTGTACAGATCTAAAGGCTACAAGTAGATGGTTTTAAAAAATGAAAATTAGGTTATTATGCGTATATAATTGTATGTCTCTCTCTTCTTAATATCAAACAAGCTTTGTGGTAATTCTTATTTACTTGGCAGAGAAAATATAAAATTTGGTTTGGCAATTGCATTTAGCAAAACACAGGAAACTTGAAGGGAAATAAAAATATTGTCTTATGGGGAAGTTCAAACTACATGCTGAAAAATTGGAGTTTGGTGTGAAACTGAATTCAACCTAGCATTGCAGACTTGTTTACCCAGTCACCTTCCCATGTTGGTGAACTGACATTGAAAATGTATTTTTTCTTTTATTAGTAAATGAAAAGCATAGTCAAAAATAGTCATTAAGTCAGACTCATGTGCAAAAGGCTCTCTTGTACTTTTGTTTCCTAATTGCTCTTGGATGGTTTTTTCTGACTGAGCTGACGCAGTCATGTGTGTGAGTTTCCTGGCAAATAAAGAAGATGACTGTGTCCAAAAGATATTTCAGAGTGTGAATTCGCAGCCTGTCCATATCTAATCAAGCAACATAAGCCATTAGCCACATGTGCTTCTTTTCATCACATTTTTTCACACTTAAATGAAAAACATGCCCACCTCTACCCCCAAAAGTGTCACATTTTTAAATGCCCCCAAATGGAAACCACAGGAGTCTATTAAATGTGGTGGCTGTTTCCAGCATACAAATCAATTTTCGTTGTGGTGAATAATGCTTGGTTTGTTTAAAGAGGCATGACTGATTTTTGGATGAAGAATCCTGTCACTTTGGCATTTTCATGGTTTTATTTATTGCTCACAAATGTATAAAACTTGGTGCTGGTCTCAGTGCCAAGCTTAACAGTGGAAATAGCTGCAAGGACCACATAACTACTGATGCAGTCAACGGGCTTCTCCTAAAAGACATTTTCTGGACTCTTGAGAAGCTGTTGTTTTGAGTAACATGGCAGTGAAGGATTTCATCATCTGGCATCTGCTGGCTTTGTTTTTAATTCCATTTTGCCTGTGTCAAGATGAATACATGGAGGTGAGCAGAAGATCTAATAAAGTGGTGGCCAAAGTATTGCAAAGTCACCACCAGACTGGCCATAAAGGTTCCAGCAGCAGGGAAATATTGAAACAGCGGAGTCAACTTATAAAGTCGACTTTTGATGATAATAGCACTTCTACAGACCAAAATGCCCAGAGACCAGAGGTAGATGATGTAGCACAGACTACCTCAGACAGAGTCCAGGTACTCTGAATTAATCTTCTAAGGATACCTTTGAAATCAGAGTTTTTCTAAGATTATAAATGATATATTTGAGAGAAGAGGTTTATTAATACTGCTTATTGGTCTGTATGCTACTGGGTTGCTTCTCAGACTCTTATAATGAACTGGTAGAGCCAGTAGTGGGGTACGGGCAATGAGAATGTAACCAGAAGTTCTGGTGAAATTTTGATCCTATGAGATACAGTTTTTCAATTATTGCAGAATATTTTTCTGGAAGACTAAGGTTTATAATCTATTTATGAAATTGTATGCATGCAAAGAAAAATTATGAAATTGGTTAACAGATGCTATTCTAAAGGATACTGCTCAACGGGGAGAGAAAAATCCCAGGTTACATAAAACATACGTATAGAAATCAATATATCCTTTTGAGCTTGAGAAAATCATTTAATGCACTAGCAAATATTTGTAGTGGTTGGTCTCTCTTAGGTTTTGTTTTTAAATCCTGTCAGTAACACCGTATTTGAGACCTAAGTAGGCACAATGTAACATGCTTTATGTCTATTTGCTACCCTTTTTATTTTAGTTTAACCCCTTCCCCCCCAGAATTAATGCTTCTTAAATTGACTGCTAAATGATTTGCTTTTTGCTAGGCATCTTTTATGTAGCATTGTATATATTCTAGTCACTAGGTCCCAGCAAAGGGAAAATTACCTCACCTTGTCATATGTAAAGTACTGCAATTCACATATTTTTAAAAGGAAAAATGTTGAAGGGGATAAGATGAAGTTTTATTAAGCATTAAACAAAATGGAAAGCTTTTCATCAGCTTGGGGCAGGAAGTTTTGTTGTACACTGTTTTATAGTCAGTAACAACATCTTTACTGAGTGCAAATGATTGAGTCTTTACAGTTTTCAGTTGATAGTAGTATATACTTTTTTTCAGTCTCAGCACTGGATCCTGAATTCCCAAAAGCAGGAGACGGCAGATGTGGGATAGATAATAATTGTTTTGTGACAAGCAGAGATGAGTTTTGATTTTAGGTAACTGTAATGGGCTTAAATGAAGCAGATTGAGATATGGTAACACAAGACAATAAGTTAAAATATAGCAACAACATTTCCTACAGTTTAATAGTTATACTGCATAGAGTATACATTTTCTTTGTTACACAACTTCTGTTCTCACAAAATCGGAAAAGTAGATTTAATTTAATTTAATTTACATTAAATTGAACTTATTTACATAAACAGTATGATCAGTGAGGGCATATTGTGAGGAGCCAGCTAGTGTTTTTGTGTTCCTTTTCCTGCTACTGGATGGAATGCTTTGTAGTTGCATCTCCACAGACCCTATGTGTTAATAATAAAATAAGACTCTCCTTTAATTCAAGATCTAGTGGACTGTACTTTAAGAACTGTCTTTCAATTTATTTTTAGTAATATATAATTTAATGCAAACTTGTTGTTAACAAAAAAGGCCCAAATTCTGCCTCTGACATTAGTATCATTATAGTCATTGGGGGCTACATGTATATCCAAGGATAGAATTTGGTGCCAAGTATTTACATGATCTTTACACTTACAGTAATGGAACTTACAGTAATGGAATTGAGTGAGAGGGACTCAGCCAATTGGCACACAGCATTTACATCCAACATTCCTGTGTCTGGGAAATGATCTCTCAAGGGAAATGATGCAATCCCAGTTCTTGGCTCACTTAAAATTAGATGAAAAACTATGAAATGTGCAGTAGGTGCAATCCAGCATGGAATGGACTGATATAATGGGTCTTTTGCATCACTAGAGCTTATGCATTCTCAGGTGGAGGGGAACAAACTCCTTGTGGGTCTACCCAATTTGGGGCTTCTCTAAAGATCTGTATGATCCTGAATAGAAAGCAGAACAGCCAGCAGCTGCTTTCCCTTGAACTATTTCTGTGTCCCTAGAAAGCCCCCCATGTCTGCAGCTGTTTTATGTTATGACAGTGCCAGGAGAATTCTTCCCCCAGTTGTCTAAGGAGCTTGTGAGGTGGTAAAGAGGGGCTAGAGCAGGGGTCAGCAACCTTTTCAAACCAAAGAGCCAAACTGCATCAAAATTCGGAACAAGTGGTCAACAAGCAGCCAGTATAAGAATGCCCAGTTGCATGACTGAAAATATATAACTTAATATTATTGATAATTGACATGATTAATAGCATAAATGGAACATTATACTCACAGACTTTATTTAATGGGACTGCTGTTGGGGTGCAGTTTGGGGATGTGGGGGTGCAGGAGTCAGGGTTGAGGTGTATGAAGGGCTCAGAGCAGGGGGCTGGTGTGTGGGGGAGGTGCAGGAGGCAGGGCAGAGTGCTGGGGGTAGAAAGTCGAATATGGGGGGCGGGGGTCCTGGGGCCAGATTACTTTACCTGGCTGGGGCTGGGCTGCTGCTCCTGGGCGGTAGTGTCTGGATGAGAGGGCCAGGCCAGGATTGCCGCAGCTGGATTGTGGCCTCTCTTCCTATCTGTGCCGCAGCAGGAGGCGGGCCACCACCAGCCCTTCTTGAGGCCAGATGGGGGCCGGACCACAAGGCCTGCCCCAGGATTGGGGCCAGCGACGGGACACCATGGCCAGATGCGGGCTGGGCTGCTGGGGCCCTCTCACTATCCCAGCTGGCAGTGTGCACATGTCTTCTACAGCGTGCCCTCAACCAGCCCTTTTAACGAGAAGAGTGCCCCAGCTGGCTCCAGCCAGAGTACAGCCAGTTCTTACTAGGATGCACTTCCTTACTTTCACCTCTGGTTAAAGGTGAAATAGACAAAAAGACCATCTTGACGTGAGTAATTAAAATTTTGCATTGTTCATTTTAATTTAAAAAGTTGCATGTATTTTGGGAATGACAAAAGAGCCATATTTGGTTTCGTACTGAGCCATATATTTGGCTTGAGAATCATAAGTTGCAGACCCTCTGGGCTAGAGAGAATAAATAAACCTCTCCCTGTGCTGAATTTTCCATACAGCTGATAACATATGAGCTATGTATCATGATTTCCTCAAGCTCTATAGCTTGTATGGAAGAGATGTAGATACAATCTTCTTTCTTGTCCTGCTTGATATACTTGGAGTGCTTCTAAATGTACTGGCTTTCTTCTTGTGTTTTTGGCAGTTTATTTAATTTATTTTGCCTGATGAGGTGACTAGAGGAGGAGGAAGGAGGCCTTTGTTATGGTGTGTGCTGGCTCTTTAAACCTAAGGGGGGGGAGGTAAATGAAGGTTAGGGCAGTCTCAGGAACTGACCAAAACTGGAGGAGAGAAGGTGGTCCTGGGGATTTAGCAATGGATTGGAGAGATCTCAAGACACTTCCTTTAAGGGCTTGGCATCAGGAGCCCCAACAGCGCAGAGTGGGGTAGGTCTCCCCTCCCTCCTGGCCAATCAGGAGGAGGTCTCAGAAGGAGAGGCATATATATACCTCCTTCCCTCTCAGAACAGAGTATGTGGTGACAGAGGAACGAAGTCAGCCCCATAAGGCTACGTTTCTGCTGAGAAGAATAAAACCTCCATAACTGGAAGGAGCACTGGATTTTGGTTCAAGCTATAAGGTTGCTATGATGGACATTGTGTTGGGGACACTGAGGACTATTTTCAATTGCTTTGGGCTGCTGACCTATTTTCAGGGGAGAGCTGAGGATTACCTTGAGAGAGACTATAGGAACTCCCAAGGAATCCTGAAAAGAAGGGGCAGAGAGAGGGTGTTGTGGAAATATCTCTGGCCACAAGAGGAAGCCAGAAGAATGTTGTTCCCACCCCACCCATGTACACCAGTTTGCCCCCTTCTTATTCAGAACAGGACCCATTGTGGTGGGCATTTATTTAACTTCTTGTTTTTGATAAAGTAAAATAAAACTTTAAAGAAAGCCAGCAGGAAATGGAAAAATGTCTGTGTCTCCCATTATGGCTGCTCCAAAGGTTCAAATTAGAGAAATTTTATTGACAATAAAGTGCTAAGAGCTTCCTCCTAAACTGCTAAATTACCTAGCTGTTAATCTAAGAAAATCCAATATTCAGAGATGAAATAATTCCACAGATTTGCCATGCAATAAAATGTGTAAGGACTTTGGCAGATGGGATCTAAATGAATTTCAAATCCCATTTCAAAGGTTAGAGAAAGTAGCTTTAACATATTATATTTTAAAAGGGCCAAATTAACATCAGTGGAATATTTTGGCAAATTTTGACCTAAGATTTGTCCTTTTGGACTTAAAAAATCTTTTGACATAGGAATGAAAAAAAATCTGTTCATATTTAATGCTCCAAAACAATGAATTTTTAGGTTAGGTTTTCTTAATCTGAGGGTACACAGAGCTCCACAGAGATGAATATATTTTAAAGTAAAAATGTGGGGATTTGAGACTTAAATGTGCATGATGAATAATGTAGAGCTACTTTCTATAACCTTTTAAATGGGTTTCGAAGATTCATTTAGGTCCCATCTATCAAAGCCCTATGCAAACCAGTTAAATTATTTTCCTAAACAAGAACTGAAATCAGAAGCTTGTGAAAATCATCTGTCTCACACATTTCTTGGAACAGACAGAAGATTAGAATGAAGATATTTTCTAGATCTCTGAATAGTGGATTTTCTTAGATTGTAACTGGCTCTAGCAAGTCTTGTAAAAAAACCTGGAATCTTTAATGACCTCAAGTGTGGTCAGAAGGTCATCAGGTTCATGTATCAAGACAGCATATTGTCTCTTGGCTCAGTGTAAGGGTTTGATCTGAATGGTGTCACAGAGAAGAGTTCTTCCTTTCAAATGATCACTTTATGAATGATCACCCACCTAAATACTAACAAGAATAACCCATCAGCCAGCCCTGTAGGATATACTAAGGATTCTGGTGCCATATGTCAACAGAACCCACTTGTCACCTTAGTAACAAGATAGAATGTATTTGTGTTACCTCATGTCATGCTCATTATTTCCCCAATAAACAATAGGATTGGTCTGTTTGAAGTGATTTTTGAAAAAAATTCTGATAGATGAGCAGAGCATTTGTGGGCTGAAATTACAAAGGAGTTTTGCTCTATTTGGAACACCAATGTCAAATGACATATAACTCCCCAAAGTCACTTATATAAAATCCTGCCATGAATGGGTTGCCAACTCAACCTATCATTAGTGGATTTGGGCTTCTTTTTTCCAGAGAACAACTTGACAGAATATTTTCTGGAGAGAAAAAGGAGTTCAACTTTAACTCGTTACAATCCTTGTAATTTTACTTAATCAATATGACTATAAGAAAATCCTTTGCAGTTATGAAATCTACCAGTCTGAATGTGAAACCACATTGGTATGATTAAATTAATGGGAATCCTTTGGGATGAAAAGCACTATATAAATATATAGTATTATAGGACTTTCTTATACAATAAATATTAATATATATAACTCATACTAAATATATTTTTGCTGATACATAGTTCATCATATGAATAATGTGTTGTGTAAGATTTCCATCATGTTACACTGAGTATAAAAATGTGCTTCAAATGTTATCTTTTCAGATGAGGTTTAGATTTTCATATGTGCCTGAGTACTTTTGCAGATGCCTCGCTTACATATTTGTTCAGCCATGCACATCCATTTTTCATGCATGAATTGGAATTGGCACATGCACTTTTGCATACACTTCTTTGAAAATCCAGCCTCATATTGCTTTAGAGTTAGCAGAGGCTGTGAGGTCCACATTGAATCATAGGCCCTGATCCTGCTATTCTTTGCATATAAGCTAGCATGCCTGCACCAAGGGCCACTGAAGTCAATAAGAATTCCTACTGGTACTTGTGGTTTACCTGCATACAGCAAAATACATGATTGGAGACCAAGTTAAAAGTTCTACCATTTTTTAGTTCCTTGATCTTATTTATTTAAGAATATTTTTTCAGCTGGGGAAACTAATACGAAATGATGTTGTAAATAAATAACAATTTTAAAAATTTCAAAACCAACCTTATTAGGGAGAGACCAGGAATGGAAGATTTCAGTCTCAAAGGAGAAGTTTTCAGAAAGCTTGCGGGCATGTACAAACAAGGGGCCATAGTAGAGACTCTGCTACCAGGATGCATTAGTATATATAGCAAATACACTCTATGAATGGTTTATTTAAAATCTATGTTTTTGCACTCAGCCCCCTCAAAGTGGACCTCAACATCCAGACTGCAGTAGCTGCTGCCGTGGAGAATTTGGATTTCGAGGCTATCAAGGGCCACCTGGACCTCCAGGGCCTGCTGGGATGCCAGGTAAAAATGTCATTGCAATTGATTTCTGATCAGTCTAACTGTAGCTTGTGATCTGTTAAAAGCAGAGACTGGCCCAAGAAAGGAGCAGAGCTTGGATATGGATTTGGATCCAGATACAAAATTTCCCATAACTTGAGTGAGGGCTTGGAGACAGATTTTAGGTTCTAATCTAATAAAAACCAATTGCTAATAAAATTAATTTATAATGGAACCATCACTAATGAACGTGATGTTTCTCATAGTTCACAGGCCAAATTTTGCTCTCTGTCATATGAGTGAAACTTCCACTGAAATTAATGGAATGTACCCTGGAGTGGATATTGCTTTTGTTTTCTTTGTGTTGTAAATGATGACTTGTAAATTTCCAAAACAGAAGGCATTTCTTCCTCTCATATGGTGCAAACATTTACAGAAGAGACACGCACTATACTCCCTCATGGGGAACATACTTTTGTTTTTCTTTCTTGTCTGTCTTAATGTAAAAAGAAGATCAGTTTGACAGAGTATGATTTCTCTTGTACATAAAAAAGCAGTCTAGTAATGGGAAGAATTTGGTCTGTTTCATGTGTGGGGGTATGAAAAAGAGGGAGATACATGGAAGGAGGAAGGGAGATTAGACAGTGGGTTTAGATTTGATTTAATAATTATCTTCATGATTTTGAAAATGATAATTTATAACACAGTTGTGGCACATCTAGGAGTATGTCTCAGACTGGGTAGCTTTCCTCAACAGCCTTGTGTTTTTCTCTTAATTACTCATTCACTGCTTTCATTCTTTCTGTCTCTTTCTACACATTGCTGACAGTAACTCTGGTTCTGGGATCCCTATTAAATATTTCTTTGAGTTGATTGTTGATATTCTGATGGTAGCAGTTTCCAGTAATGGTGAGGTCTGTTTAAATAAGCAGCTTTGGCTGGCAAAAATGTAAGAAATAACATGTTATTTTGACATTTTTTTGGCATTAGCCTATTGTAAATAAGATTTATTAGGTGCATCAATGCCATCAACCCTTTGCATAAATCTTATATAACTCTATGGCCATAGGGGAAATGTCTTGGGGAGGCTTGTTATACAGAAACAAAAATTTTTATTAAGGGAAAGTGAAGACATCAGTATTTGGCAGCTTAGGAAATGGTACAATGTTTTGCATTACATCCCTCTCCCTGCTCCTGGTTAGCAGTGCCAGTCAGTATACTATAAATGCACTGGATTGTATTTTGTAATATGGACCTATTTCTGTGCTTGCCCAATGTGAAACTAAAGCTTGGCCAAATTCAGTGCTGGTTTACAGACCACCACAGCAACTACATCAGAGTGCTTGTATGATATTTGCACTGAATTTGACCATTTCTGAAGGGCTAGACTTGTATGACTAAATGAAAACCATATGGGGTCAGACGCAGTGCTGACTTACAGTCCTAACTGGATACTAAATAATGGGAGTCACTAACATACAACAGCAGCACCTCCAGCCAGGGTGAGGAGTGGGACCATGGTGCCAGGAGTTCGGGGAAGGGTACCGGGTGGATACAGACAGAGGTAAAGAGATTGCAGCTGAGAATGGGTCTGGGACTTGGAGCAGGGCCGAGGATGGGTGAAGGGGGTGGAGCTATTGTGGAGGGGCAGTGGGATCTGATAACTGAGCCCACAGCCAGGTGCTGCTCTGCTTTTGGCCTCAGCCATGTGGCCTGCAACTGAGGCAGGGGGCTGGTGCAGGGCTGGCAGCAGAATCGCACCAAGGCTGCGGATGAGGTCAGGTATAGAGCTGGGAGCCAGGGATGCAGCTGGGAGCACACAGGACCAATGCAGAGATGGGAGAAGGGAGGGGCTGGGTGGCGTTCTTACTCTTCCCTCCATGGGGGCTGGTGTGGGTCTGCCATCCCCTCTGCCCCGGACATTCCTTCGCTCTACCTTAGGGAGGTGCACCCCACAGTTTGGGGCCCTCTGTGCTATAGCAGTAGGCAAAGCGATTCTGCACGTAGGGCCATTTCCCACACTTTTAGGGACCCATGGTGGCTGCCTCAACTGCCCTATGAATGGAAGGGACCTGTGGGATTATGGGGACTGGTGCGGGGGGGGAGCCAGGGTTGCCCCCCCCCCACACACACACACTCACTATGGTGGCGGGATCCAGAGCAGCCCATGAGCTTGCTCTGCTCTGCCGCATTGCCTTCTCTCAGCCTGCTGCTTTCCACCCCTGCAGAGAATCAGGGTGTAGAGAACTGGGAGAGCAGTGTGGCGGGGCAGAGCAGAGCAGGCTGCTGGGACACTGCAGCTCCCCATCACCACAGTAAGTGTGTGTGTGGGGGGATGACCCCTGTTTCCACCCTGTGCCAGGCCCCATAATCCCCCTGGGCCACATTGCTCAGAGGAGGGGCGAAGGTGGTGGAGCAGGGATGGGGTGCAGGCAGAGCATAGACAGGGCTTGGCAAAGGAGTGGACTAGGGAGCAGGACTTCTCTGAAGTAATATAAGCAGCTTTTTCCAGTCTAACCAACCACCTATAGACAGAAACATAGACAGAATTGGTTGCATTCGTTGGCCTGTGAAAAACTCCCCAAGACCATTTAATGCTTTGCCCAAATCCATTTGGATTATGCAGTCATAGTAGAAAGGCTATTAAGCTGCTTTTCAGGTTACTTTGAGAAAAAAGCACAGCTGTTCATACAGCAAACCTTCATTCAAAGACTTAATCAAAACCAATCCAAACTGTTCAGTATACTCAACTACCAAACCTCCTTTATTTTCAACAGCCCTGAAACACTTTAGTTCCCCAGCAGTCCCAACTAGTCCGCTATCAAAAGCTATCACTAAAATTGAGCAATGGCCTGAGAAGTCTACATTTTATATGCCAGCACTAGATCACATGTTCCTTATTCCTTAAAGGTATTTATGCTTCCTTTTAAAAAGTCTCCCACCAAAATCCTAAACCCTCCTTAATCTACCTGGTTAGCGCTATAGCCAATGTTTATTCCTCAGGCCTTATTATATTGAAGAGGTTTTGTCATAAAGCGGGGGTGGAAATGGAAGCACTAGGGGTATGCCTAGACTACATGGCTCTATTGACAGAGCCATGCAAACTAGTTTAGCCGACATAGCCAATGAAACAGGGATTGAAATAATCCCTGCTTCATTAAAATAAAAATGGCCACCACGCTGTGCCAACAATCAGCTAATCAGGCACAGCGCGGCAGTCTAGACGTGGATTGGTCGACAAGGGAAGCCTTTGTCAACCGCTCCCTTATACCTCGTGAAGCCGATTGTCAGCACAGCGGCCATTTTTATTTTAATGAAGTGGGGATTATTTAAATCCCCGCTTCATTGACTATGTTGGGAAACTAGTTTGCATGGCTCCATCAACGGAGCCATGTAGTCTAGACACACCCTAGGTCTCAGTTATGATTAGAGGGGAGTGAATGAGAGAATATTTAAATAGACCAGAAATCTTTGATTATTTAAAGGAAATCATGGAAACAATGGAAATAATGGAGCACCTGGCAATGAAGGAGCAAAAGGTGAAAAAGGAGACAAAGGGGACATTGGACCAAGGGGAGATCGTGGCAATCATGGACCCAAAGGAGAGAAGGGTTACCCAGGGATTCCACCAGAGCTTCAGGTACAAAGTTTTTAGCATGTGTTTTAGTGTAGCTTTCCCGTTTCCTCTCTCAAAGACAGTATCCAATTACCATAATACAGTTACAGATCAAGAAGTATGGTGTGATACACAGCATTGGTAATTTATTAAGGAACATGTCCTGCAAATATTGCCAGAGTGATCCTGTTGCCAGATCATGCTATAGCTTTATTTTAGAAAGCAAACAGATAAATGTTTTTTGGACAGAGGATAAACCCCTCCAACTGGAATATCTGTTTATTGCCAGTTTTCAGGTAATGGGCACATGATAAAAGAACAGTAAATAACACAATCACACTTTTATTAACATTTATCAAATGCATATTGGTGTACTGTCTGGTTCATCTTAAACACACACACGAGGCATGAGGGCCCAGACTTTCACAGTAATTTAGGTGGCTGCTCCAGAGAGTTTCAGAGCATAAGGGACAGATATTTAAAGGTATTTAAATGCCTAAAGTTTCAGTTATGCTCCTAATAGGATTATCAAAATCATCCTGGCAGTTCTAAAAATCCCACTAAGCACCTATTTGCATCTTTAGACATCTAAATAATCCTAAAATTTGGCTCTAAGTGGCTTAGATGACTATGTTCATTTTCAAATATGTGTTAGGTGTCTGAGGGCTTAAATATATGGAGACCTGGCACATGGAAGTTAGAGTGTAACTCTACAGTACACCAGCATGCCATGCACTAATTGTCTGTGTGCACACTGAAGTTCTCTAGTGCACACTGACATCCTCTTGGAGTAGATCAAAGTGCACTAGTACATTTCTAGTATGCAATAGCAGAATCCACACACACAGTTAGCGGATGGCACACAAGTCACTGTAGATTTACACCCCAGCTTGCCTGCACTAACTCACTAACCAGACTAGCTCTAAAGGACAATGGAACTTGGAAGTCTAAATGCCTGAGTCACTTTTAAAAATTGGACATTGCTTCTCTAGACACTACAAGACCTATGTGATTTAGACAGCTATGTCTAAATTTCTTTAAAAAACTGGGCCTAGGTGCCTTAAGAGCATCCATCAGCTTTATGATCCAGTACCACCAACTCCATTTCCTTCAGCCGTGAGCCCTGTGTACCACTGAAGAGACTAAGTAGAATACACAAAAGGAACCTTAAACCCAAACATACTCTAACTTTTGGAACAAAATGTATGTAGTTGGATGAATTTACAGGCCCACATTTTTGGGCCCATCTTTAATTCAAAGTTGTGGTTCCACAACAACCATAACACAATTACATTTTTGCATATGCATAAAAGACATGAAAATTAACAGCAAAAACACCAGTAAAATTGTTAGATATGTGCAGTGTAGTGGCAGTACCGGTAACTTTTAATCTCCTGATATTATGGGTAATTAAATTCTTAGTCATAAATGCCGCATGAAGATAGTGTTTTTGTACTGAATAAAACGCAGCTTGAAAATGTTTTCAAAACTAATTGACCTTTGTCTTACAGCAAAGTAACTGGAGAATGTTTATAGAGACCTTTAGTTGGAAGGAATTTTATGGTAGAATGACTTGGAAAACATTCTTGTTACAGTTATTTTCCTTGTTGATCTTTTTCTAACTTTGAAGTTATCTATCAGAACTGTTACCAATGCATATGTTCTGGTGGAACTGAAAATGATGTTCAACAACTGAATATCATGCTATCAACTTTTAAGCAGAATTTCCCCATTGTTTATAACAAGTTGTTTTGCTTAAAAAGTATCAGTCCAATATAATCTATAGTTTCTAAAACTAGATTATGATTTGGAATGTTAGTGGGGTAGTTAGAGAAGGGAAAAAATGTTTCCATGTGTAATGTTTAAAAAAAACAAGTCTATTTTAAGAGACAATGAATCCATTTCTGATCTGCTATGTTAAAATGAGACAAAGTGTAAGGAAGGCATTAATTTTTTATTTTTCTGGGTAGCTCCAGAAGAACAGATTAGAGTTGATTGAAATATCAAATGGCATTTGGACAAAAAATAATCCTTTGACTAAAATCATCACTGTAAACTACTTCACATCAACACATTAACTTAACTGAATTGAATTTTGCCAGCTTTCCAGTCTAACACATACATGAAGAAGAAGAGAAATCAGACCAAACAGAATCTCTTTGAAATTCTGGAAGGGGCCCAGGATTTTTGTCACTGAATCCAAACCTACAGATATGATTTTTTTTTATTATTATTATTCTGAAGGGGTCTTTTTTCTGGTGGTAGTTCAGCCAAGCATTCCCATGAGACTTACTGCTAAGTACTTATCTCTACATCTCAAAGCACTTAACAGAAACGGAGTCACAGAAATTAAATATCTTTGCCTTCTAGAACCTAGGTTTCCTCATGCTCAGTACTATACCCTGTCTACAATACCAATCTGCCTTGAGATCACAGAAACTAAGAGATGGCTCATTTACCTGCCTAAGGAAAATGGTTTTCTACCGGTCATTTTCCAGTATCTTGTCCAGTATAGTTTGAAATGTCCCAAATGAGGGGACATTCACCACTTCCTCTGGAACATTTTTCCATGGCCTAATATATCTCACTGGCAAGAAGTTTCTCCTGATGGTCAATTTAAATTTTCCCTTCACTTAAGTTTTATCTCATTATGTCCATCCAGCAGCTTACGTTGGCACGGCAAAGGAAGTTAGAGCAGGTGGTAGAGGATGAAAATGTTGAATCTCAGGGTGTGTCTAGACTACAGTGTTTTGTCGACAAAAGTGAAGAGTTTAGACTCTCTGTCGAAAAAGCGGCTTGTAGTCTAGATGCTCTTTGTCGACAGAGGCTTTGTCGACACTATCTGTTGACAAAAGCCTGTAGTCTAGATGTACCCTCAGACTTTGCAGCTTGAAAGGCAGAAATCACATGGCCTCAGAATCGCTTAAGCCATTTCTGATTGACAACATGTATGGGGTTTATTAAGCTTTATTTACAATTAACATTGTGTTAAAAGCAGTAACCGAGTTAAATAAATTTGTGGAACTACTCAAGCCAATGTTATCATTTTTATGCTAAAATACTATACGTTACATTATAATGTTTCTATCATATCATTCTAAGCTTTTAAAGTAAAAGCAAAATCTAAAACTAAGGTGCTAAACTGCAAACACTTACTTTTACACCGTGCTTAACTTTATACATACACAATGAATAGTTCCATTGAAGTCAAAGAGCCTGCTCCTCCTGAAGTTTAATTCAATAGGAGTTTTGTTACTGGAGTTTAATGGAAGTTGGATCAGACCCTAAAAGAACATGTCATTAATGAAGATAAATATACTGCACATGTCAGAAAAAAACCCGGTATATCGTGTTTTTATATTTGTCCTTTTCCTGCTCATTGACCACTAGTTAAATAAAATATATATATTTTTTAGATTGCGTTCATGGCTTCTATGGCAACGCATTTCAGCAATCAGAACAGTGGAATAATCTTCAGTAGTGTTGAAACCAATGTTGGAAATTTCTTTGATGTTATGACTGGTAGATTTGGTGCCCCAGTGAATGGTGAGTATTTATAAAGCAATGTAGTGTAAGTTTCTGTCTGAAAATGTCAATCAGATGTTGGTTAAAGGAAAAATCTGGCCTCATTAAAATTAAAGGAAGCGTAGCTATTGACTACACTAGGACTAGACTCTAGGTCCAAGAACTCCTAGCTTCACATCAGTTTGGAGAAGCTAGGGGGCTTAAGCTGAGGGATAGCTGTGTTAGTGTCTTAAAAAAATAAGGAATCCTTTGGCACTTTAAAGACTAAGAGTGTGTCTACTCTGCAGGGCTTAACTTGAAATAAGCTATTCAAATCTTATTTTGAAATAGGGAGCATCTACATAGCAGTTATTTTGAAATAGTGCACTCTTCTTTCGACTTCCCTTATTCCTTATATAATGAGGGTTACAGGAGTCAGAGTAAGAAGTCTTCCAGCTTGACAGTATTTTGACACTATTTTGAAATAACTGCCTACTATGTAGATGCGGACTAAGTTATTTTGGAGTAGCGCTAGTTATTTTGAAATAGGGTATGTCTATACTGCAACATTAACTGATTAATTTGGGCATAAGCTTTCATGGGTCAAAACTACTTTGTGAATTCCACTCCATTCATCTGACTGTGTGTGTATGTGTATGGATAGATATCAAAGAAGGGAGTTACTTATCAGGTGTAGGACCAGTGTTAAAGAGACCAGTTCATTCAGGGTGACTATGGCTTAATCCCAGCAGTTGATGGGGAGGTGTGAATACCAAGAGAGATAAAATTGCTTTTCTAGTGAGAGAACCATTCTAAATCCATATTCAATCCTAATTTGGATTTTAAATGTACAAATGAATTGCGGCTCCGCTTTTCTCTCTGTAATGATTATTAACAGGTTGTACTGATTCAGGAATAATTTCTGTTGAAAATATGGTGAGGAATTTGAAGTTACATTGGGTCATTTTGTCACTTCCTTTAAATTTCTGAGGGTAAGCAAAGAGTTGATAGGAGCAAGTAGGAAAGGGAAGAAGATGGGGGAGGTCATTGGGTTGCATGTTTTAATAATTTCCTTCTCAGACTGGGAGGGAAAGCGCTGTCATTTGCAAGTAGATTTATTTATTTGGAACTTGACTTCAGTGACCCCCTGAGCTCAGTGGACAATCAGATGATGGAATCAAATCTAGGTCTGGATGAAGTCAAAGGGAAAACTCGCAAAGACTTCACCAAGGCCTAGATCTTGCAAAATCTCTTCTCTTTTTAACCAAAAAACACAACTGTGGAATGTATCCATCTACTTATCATTATAAAACACACATAGATATGGTTTGATATCTCTTTCAGGGGTGTATTTCTTCACCTTCAGCATGATGAAACATGAGGATGTGGAGGAAGTGTATGTATACCTCATGCACAATGGCAATACAGTTTTCAGCTTATATAGGTAAGTTGAGTGATCTTCACCATGGTAGACAGATTTGCAAAGACATTGGTTCTTGCTACACATTTGTAGGGAAGGTGATATAGGTAGTATGAAACTAGGGTGACCAGGTGTCCCAACATTATACAATACAGGCAGTCCCCGGATTACGTACAAGATAGAGACTATAGGTTTGTTCTTAAGTTGAATTTGTATGTAAGTCAGAACTGGTACATATTGTAGGGGAAACTCTAGCCAAACATTTCTCCAGAGCTCAGTTTTATTCTCCCACACCTCACTTCCCTCAGTCCTTTATTCTCAAGCTGAAGTGTCTGCTGAGAAAAGCCGCTCCGTGTCTCCCTGGTCTGCTGGGGGGGGCGCTAGCTTCGCCCGGGGACTGCCTGTACTTGGGGCTTTTTTTATCTAGGTGCTATTACTCTTCAGGGGCACACACATAGTGAAAGCAAAAACACACACAGACAGACTTCACACAGGATTCTAAACACCAGAGCTCTTTACTTAGCAGTATGGGTAAAACCAACCACATCTATACTCATTTCCTTGCCCTCGGGGTCCTCACCAATTGTGGAAATTCTTTGCCATCCTTCTTCAGAAGCTCATGATTATCTTTTTCCTCTATGGGTCAGCTAGTTTTCTCTAACTTTGGCTGGACCCTTATTTAAAAAGTACATCCCTGCTACAAAAGCATGCCCCTCACTCCTACCCTGGGTTCGCATGGCCAGGCTGGCAGCTATCCTGCCATAGATGGCCACATTCCTCCATCTAGTGTGGAGATCATGGACATTGGGGGCATCCCCCCCAAACCTGAATAAGGTCCAAGATCTCCATCCTGGACCAGGAAGTTGCCTGCCTTCTCCAGCCCCTGTCAGGCTCCTGGGAGCTGGCAGACTGATCCTGGGGAGCGGTGGAGCTGCCAGTGGCTTTCTGGGTCCTTTTTTTGGGGCCC